GCAGCATCATCGTTCTGTGTCCACAAAGCTGTCCAAATAGGTACAAGGTCCAGAAATATTTGTTCTGTTTGGAATATGGTTAGAGTAAGTGAGTGAGTGAGTATGGTTGTACGCCGCTTTTAGCAATATTCCAGCAATATCACGGCAGGGGACACCAGAAATGGGCTTCACACATTGTACTCATGTGGGGAATCGAACCCGGGTCTTAAACGTGACGAGCGGACGCTTTAACCATTATGCTAGCCCACCGCCCCGGAATATGGTTAGATTATCAGGCCTCCTTTTTTCTAATCACATAAGAGAATTATGATATTCTACTGTTTTCTTTTGTAAGACCAACTGGTGGTCTATCTTCTAGATAGGAACACTTCTTGTCTTGAGGCATCCTCGATAATCTCCAGGGTATACGTTCCGATAAGTATACCGATATTCCGATATATACCCTGGAGAGTATACGTTCTGATAAATCTCCACTATAAAGTGGAGTTATATCGGAACGTTTACCCTGGAGATTAATGAGGATGGTCTTGAGGTCGCCTTATATCATGCTGGAAAAGGGCGGTGGGGTAGCCTTGTGGTTAAAGCGTTCGCTCGTCACGCCGAAGACCCGGGTTCGATTCCCCACATGGGTACAGTGTGTGAAGCCCATTTCTGGTGTCCCCCGCCGTGATATTGCTGGAATATTGCTAAAAGCGGCGTTAAACCATACTCACTCACTCACTCACTCATACTCGAAAAACGCCACCATTTCTCGAAACAGGATTTTGTTTAGTCAAAATACTTCACAACATTTCTTACCGTTATAAGTCGATGTTATGTCGCAACATCTACATCATTCAGCATCAGTACGAAACGGCGTAAAATCATACTCCCTCGACCTCACCCTAAATACATACGAAACACGTTTGTGAGGAAGCTAAGAATCTCTCAACGCCATTTTTTTTCATTTGAATTCGTGCATAATGTGTTTTTGATTATTGAATATTTTTCTCGAGGAGATAAATCCAGCAGGCTCCTAGAAAATGTTCAACACATTCTACGCCAAACTTCAAAGCGTATGTCCGAGAGTTTCGCCTTTGAAGTGTTACATTAGAGCACTGGCGCAACGTGTGAGGATATTGCCACCGAGAATCTCCGCCGCATATTGCGCTGCTAAAGGAAACCATATGAGGCTTGGGGCGGACAGGTTGGGGTAGAGACATGTCTGTTGTGAAAAAAAAGGATGTCCCGAACTTGTCTGTCGCCATGCGTGAGATAGTTACATGGTTCGATCGTCATAGCCAGACCGGTTTCGACGGGGACTGGTTTCACAAGTATGAAAAAAAGTACTTAGTGCTCAATGTCATATCATGTCATGTCATGTCATGTCATGTCATGTCATGAATGGACGGACGGACGGACGAACCAATCAATCAATCTATTATATACGTTATACCTGGTGACAGTTTCAAATTGTTTGGGTTTTAAATAGTTCTGTTTTTCATTGTTGCTTTTCGGGGAAATTCGGTTTTTTAATATTAAGAACATATTTTTTAAATGTTAAGGACATTAAGAAATTATGATAAAATACAAATAAATTAATAAGTGCTGTAAACCTCTTCCAAGTCTCTCGTACAGACCCTGAAGCAAATATATCCAAGAAAGCCCACGCAAGTCTAGAAAATGTGGCAAGTCTAGATTTCCTCAGCTTCAGGAAGAGAGTCTCAGGGCTCCTTTTCATTATATTATATTTTTTTAACTATGAACTTTTTTCAGTAGAATATGTTCATTTCAGAGACTAGTTGTTAGTCTAACCTCTTCCCAACCCACACAAGTTCAGCACACAGCCGATGTCAGGTGTTCGGTCGCAGTTCATGACGTCAGCTGGTCGCCGTACTGCTTAATCGGGCTCACTCAAAGAGATAACTGGTTTCCTGAACCAGCTGCGTAGTCTCTATTTCGACTGAGAGCTATATCCTCTCCTCAAATGATGTTCTCCTAAAGATCCATCTTACGGATTCTTTTTTTTTGTCAAATGAGAGTATTTTGAAATAAATGTGTGTCATGTTTCCCAGTCTGTCTGGTACAGAGGACACAGATGTAACGGCTGAGGGGTTGTACTTCCGCAGGTGGGCTCTGTTTAGTTTCGCGAAAGAGCGAACACGACAGAATCTTGACACATGTGTCAGCCGTATGGCACAGGTTGCCCATCTGGTGCTGACGCATCCACAGGGACATTGAAGGAACGTTTGTTGACCAGACATGCGCTGAATAAGAGGGAATTAAGAGAGACAGACCTCTCCAGAATTTTTCCTGGAATTTAGTTTTAGTGAATATTTTTATCAGCTAGTAGTGCAGTGAAAACGGTCTATTTCATTGATCAATAGGCTTAAGTCGTTGGTATCTTTTGACGTTTCAGTGAGGTTTTAAAACAATTACGGATTTAACGGAATAAGACAGTGGTCTAGTGGATCGTGTGTTTGCTCGAAGGCCGGGTGGTGGGTGGTTCGATTCCTTGGTCGAGTCATACCAAAGAAATGTATAAGATGGTAGTTTTTGTTACCCTGCCTGAAGGTCGGCATTCTGGGAGTATTACAAGGACTGATGGGTTCAGAGTCAGTTTACTGTGCATGGAACGGTATTCATGTTTGACTTCGGCATATTATTATCTTATTGGGATGGCATAATGAAACCGACATTAGCCTCGTACGTTCTCGAATCCTATGTCACCTTCATTCCGCTTCTAACAGAATGTCGGGGTGGGGTAGCTTAGTGGTTAAAGCGTTGGCTCGTCACGCCGAAGACCCGGGTTCGAATACCCGAATGGGTACAATGTGTGCAGCCCATTTCTGGTGTCCCCCGCCGTGATGTTCCTGGAATATTGCTAAAAGCGGCGTAAAACCAAACTCAGTCAGTCTAACAGAAAGTCGGCTGTTTGAATATCAACTGTCGCTGATATAAATGTGTACTTAGAGGTAGCCGAATACAGGCTCTTCGTGTGTTTAGGCCTAGGCATAAGGTAACTTGTGCCGCTCGGGTGTTTCAGTATCTTTTGAAAGGTGGGTAGGGTGGCCGTAGTCTTGTAACGCCGAGTTTTATTCCCAACATGTGTGAAGCCATTTCTGGTGTCTCGCGTCGTCCGTTTTTGTTAGGTTATTGCTAAAAAGGCGTTTACGCCCATGCTGTTGAGGTGATGGAACTGCTTTGATGTGAGAGCAATGTTCACAGTGATGTACAGATATATATGCCCCTCTTACAATAATAACATTCTGATGGGTGTTGCCGCATGTAGCCACAACTGATTTTGTAGACTTGAGTGAACAAGCCTGTATGCCAATCTCTCTCTCCTACATTGGAAAGATGTGCTACTATAGTCTGTCTCACAGTCCCTGAACCACATTAATTTCCCTACTGCCAAGCCCTCTCTGCGGTGCTAGAGCCCTTAATAAAGCAAGTCTAGATTTCCTGAATCTCTGGTCTCCCTTTTCAATATAAATTGGCTTGTTTGTTAATATCAAAATTATATATATTACGAGACTAAGCCTTAGTCTAGTGCTACTACTGCATCATCAGCACGCTGGCAGTGAAGTCTTCACCAGCGTTACCCCTCGAATGAGTGAGCGAGTTTAGCTTTACGCCGCTCTCAGCAATATTCCAGCTTTATGGCGGCTGTCTGTAAATAATCGAGTATGGACCAGACAATCCTGTAATCAACAACATGAGCATCGATCTACGCAATTGGGATACGATGACATGTGTCAACCAAGTCAGCGAACCTGACCATCCGATCCCGTTAGTCGCCTCTTACGACAAGCATTGGTTGCTGAAGATCAATTCTAACCCGGATCTTCACTAGTGCAAAACCCGACTGAAAGCCAATGACAGGAAGACTTCAAAACATAACGTCCGAATAAAGGAACGCATTATATTTACCACCAAAGTAGACATAGATTAAGCCATCTCAAACCAAATCATCAACTGCCGTAATGACAACATCAAGTGGAACAATGTACACGTCTTATCAAACAGTACACAAGACTTCACTCAAAGAAGCCTGCCAGAAGCAGTTGGTTTCCGCCAACACATGCCTTACTCAACAGAGACCAAGAATACCTCACCCCATCTGCCAACACGGATTTGATAAAACAACAGAACATCCCCGTTTTCATCTCGAATTTATCTTATCTGCTTCGTATATTTTGTTGTCCATCATGCACAGTTGGTTCCTCCAGTTGCTGTATTTATCATAAAGATCCACTGTTATAAATCCCGTTCATACACACCCTTATGGGTTTCTGTTAGATTAGATGTCTACAATCAGTGCACTGAGTTGAATACTTAACTATTGCTTGACAACAGTATACGGATCTTTACCCAAACGTCTCAAAAGGAAGTTGTCATCCACAGTGCCTTTTATTGTTACTCAACAATTTCTAAAGTTACCAGTCAGTCAGATCAAACAAATAATAGTGATATCAAGTGTAAATAATTAAATATGATGACGGTGATGACGAAATGAATATCTCGAAATTACTCAAACAATGACAGTAACTGCTTCAGTTACAATAAAGTCGACAATGAATACATTAACATCCAGAATGACCATAAAAGTCCCCCCATGGGCACACGTACTGAATCCACGACCAGGCTCGGCCAGTGCGAAACTAAGCCGCGTCCTTTATCTCTCTGATAATTACTTGTAGCACCAGATAACCGAGACCATTCCACCATAGACGGAGACTAATCCGTGTGTTCCACTATAGCTGAGCCGACGGAGACCCTGAAACAAATAATCCGTGCCCACAAGTCTAGAAAATGTCAGCTTTAGTCTCTGAAAATGAAGAAAGTCTCAGGGCCCTTTTCATTATATTATATTTTCTTTTACTATGAACCTTTTTCAGTAGTTCATTTCGGAACTAGTTGTTAGTCTACGTCTTCCCTAGACCTGTGTGTAAACAACATATGTTCATAGTAATCACAATATTTCATACAATGTGTATATATGTGTTTCTCTTCCATAGAGCAAAAGGAGGGCGGTACCCAGCTCAAGCTTATCCTGACGTACACAGACGAGGGCCAGTCGTTATTCAAACCCAGAAGGTGAGGAGGAAGGAATCGATAGAAGTGTCATAAAATCACGCCAGTCTGTGTGCGTGTTGCGGTTATACATAAATTGTACGACACTTCTTTCAGTATCTTCTAAGACTAATTTGTCAGGTGAGACTCCGAATGACGTGGGTACATACATACATACATACTAACATTTGTATACCGCCGATACCCAGCTCAGCTCAGCTGCTCAAAGGCGCTTAGTTTTTCCCTCGTTCACTGGATGTCAATCTCAACGGCACATCGTATTGCCAATCTCAACTCCTTGGGGAGCATACAACTGGATTGTTTTTTTGACCGACATTTTAATATAGTTTTGGTTATAGGTATCGACAACGGGACTTTCAGTATACTCATTTCTATTATTCATGAGGTAGATGGGTAAATATTTCTTAACTTCGACCTATTTCTGACCTTTACCTTAACCTATGCCTTCAGTAAATAATAATCTGGACAATCGGTTGTACGTTGTGTGATAAAAACAAATGGATGGTCCCTTGTCCAAGTCCTAATCTCTGAACTAACTCCTGACCTTTTCTCATGCAGGTTTCCAAGGACATATGAGACGCCCCCGGACCATTTTTACTTTGTGGACTTCGAGCGCCATAATGCTGAGATAGCTGCTTTCAATTTAGACAGGTACGTCCACGACGTGATTGACAGATTGCCATCACTGATATACCTAACCTAATAAACCCTTTGTGAACTACTAGTTTGTTTTGAAGTGACAGCATAAAGGTCTAGACAATAACAAGTGACCCGTCAACAAACCTGTTTCTTAGTTGACGACAATTGTAATTTGTTACCGTAGGTGTTCGCCAAGGTGATTGTTTTTGTCGGCTGGCATTTATGTCAAGTCAGCGAGAAATCTGAAATATCGCCTCTCACCGTCCCAGATTCCTCGAATAGTATTTCGTGGAAAATGAACAGAACAAATACGCATGCACCTCCAAATCGGCATCGATTTTCCTCCATAATGCATTAAGAACTGTCACGTGACTCTATCTGGAAACCATGCCATGTGTTATATTATACATGTAGATATATTGTTATAAATAGGCAAATAAACATATTTAATACAAATATGTAAACCGCCAAAACTGACATTTAGATTCTGTTCAGTGATTTTAATGTCGAACACCACTGACATAATGAGCACACCCTGTTCAGTGATTTTAATACAGAAAAACGTTGATCTCAATCATTTTAGCTAATACACTTTTCTTACCATAGTTCCTCTGTGACTGCATACTGTAAAATAGTATTTTGACCTGTATTAAGGGATTCACCTGGGTACTACCAATACGACCAATACGAAAGACCGGGATCGAATCCCCACATTGGTGCAATGTCCCAGTCTTGATATTGCTGGAATATTGCCCGAAGGAGTGTGAACCGTATTATTGTCCCTTCTGTCCAGCCCCGGGGCGGTGGGGGTAGCCCAGTGGTTAATGCGTTCGTTCGTCACGCCGAAGTCCTGGGCTCGATTCCCCGCATGGGTACAAAGTGTGAAGCCCATTGCTGGTGTCCAACGCCGCGATATTGCTGAAATATTGCTAAAAGCGGCGTAAAACTAAACTCACTCACTCAATTCCGTAGTTACGTATATAGACTTGACTCTCCCTTTTCAGCATATCCCCCGGGAGACTATATTTGCACGTACATATATGAGATTACCCAAATGTTAGTGTGTCAGTTGAAACAGACATACATTATGGTCGTGTCGCTTCAGGGTGCTGGGATTCCACCGAGTGCCCCCGACCGCCGGCCGCAAGATCAACATGACCCACGACATCAAACGCTTCGCTGACCACAAACTGGTCAAGACTTTCTTCTATTCCCCAGGTGAGACTCGTGATAGGTTAATCAGATTGTTGGAATAATGCCACTCGGCTGACCTCGGTCCCCTCCGTCATCTGGGACACGATTCCACTAGTTCACAAGTTCATGTGACTATCAGGTCGATCGGAATGCACTTCATAGTTAATCATCAATCTGTACCGCTGCTTTTTTTTTGTATACACTGGTAGTGTTTTACGGAATAAGACGAGTGCACCCGAATGAAACGAATGATAAACGTCTGGGTCGACGTACTCGATGAAGAAACCTCAGAAATAATTAGAAGGAATCCATCTTTGAATTAGTTTCGTTCACGTGACTATCACATTTTCCAAACTGGCCGTATTCGTTGGGGCGGTGGGGTAGCCTAGTGGTTGATATTAATGGACTATTGCTAAAAGCAGCGTTATACAATACCCACTCACTCACCCGTATACATGACCTAGATTCAAGGTTGAAAGTGTTGTTTTGTGTAAGGCCACATTCAGCAACAATCTAGCCATATCGCAGTGGCATGGAAATAGTCGACCCTGGAAAACCAGCCACATTCAGCAACAATCTAGCCATATCGCAGTGGCATGTAAATAGTCGACCCTGGAAAACCAGCCACATGGGTACAATGTGTGAAGCCCATTTCTGGTGTCCCCTCGCCTCGATATTGTTGAAATATTGCCCAAAGCGGCGTAAAACCATTCACTCACTCACTCACACACTGGAAAAACACGTGATTGATCCAATGAGTAACGATCAAACACGTGTTTGTACAATGGCAATCAAGCATATCTGCAATCAATTGGCGCGCCATATCTTGCACGCTCAAGCTGAACTGTCCATCAGGCATGGACCAAGGCCACTTCCTCAATATTGAGACGATTCGTTTCAGAATTCCGTGTCCGAGTTCAACCATATTCCTTATGAATCTGGATCAGTTTCAGTTCAGAGAGTAAATTTGTATGACACTATGTTGTAGTTACTCACTCATAACCCAAAAAGTAGTTCCCTGAGAAGAAGTGAATTGATGTGACAGATGACTTTACCGATATCTCTGCTTCAGCGGGCAACGTGTGCTTCCACGGTTCATGCTCCTACTACTGTGACACGACTCACGCCATCTGCGGCAACCCCGACACCTCGGAGGCGTCGGTCGCAACATTCCTTCCGCCAGAAAAAATAGCGCCCAGAAAAACATGGCGGAACCCATGGAAACGGTCGTACAGCAAGCACCGCAAAGCGTACTGGGAGGTTTACGATGATCTGTGCGACAAGGTGAGGAGTCGACCACCCTACAACACTGGTCGCCGGCTGCTGGACATCATGGACATGACCGTGTTCGACTTTCTCACAGGTATGCTCAACATGGCCAGCGTTTTCTCTCACTTCAAGTCTAACTCTGTAAAATAATATGTAGTCAACGATTGACTGATTGATTGATTGATTGATTGATTGATATTGATCGATATTGATTGACTGATTGATATTGATTGCTTGATTGATAGATATTAGATATTGATTGATTAATTGATATTATGTTGATTGATTGATTGATTGATTGATTGATTGATTGATTGATTGATTGATTGATTGATTGGTTGGTTGGTTGGTTGGTATTTCATTCATTTCATAAGGTGTCACCTTGATGCGGGAGGAAGCATCATGCGGTGCAGGTCTTAGACATATTCCGATTAGTTGACACAGAATATCTTCTGTATGAATTTGGGATTCAAACCCACCATTATAAGTGCCTGTCATACCCAAGGGACACAACTCTGCAGAAAGAATTGCGTCGCCTTGAACGAAGTGGCCCCAGTGTCCCAAATTATCACCCAAGTGGTTGGTAAATTATAAAAAAAAAATCACGGGCATGAATTTGTTTCCGTCACGATTATAAGAATGTATATTCAGGCCAATTATCTCTGTTGAACCGCTGTTAAATGTACCTTGTATCTGTTGGTTGTACTACTATATCGCTATCCAGTGGTACTTCGCACCAGCGCTGCTCCATCGTACCTGGAGTACTGCGTTTAGGAACAACCAAAAACAAACAAATACTTATTTTTATAAAGATGTCAAATTACTGATATGAGGTATAGGTCACAGAAATGATAACATCTTTCAATCGGTTCCCAGGCAACATGGACAGGCACCATTATGAGACGTTCCTGGACTTCGGCAATGAGACGTTCCTGATGCACCTTGACAATGGGAGATCGTAAGTGCAGATATACAATGATCACCAAAATAATGTAACTCATCAAAATTTAAACATTATTATCACTTCTGGGGGATTAGAATTTGGTTCGTTACAACAGAATATCTGCTATATTAAGTGAATGATGTTGGGGATTTAACGAGCGTTTCCGATACAGACGTTTTCGTGTATGAATACGGAAGTGAAAATAGTTACATTTTCTCTATATGTCCAGTATACTTTTCCCCCGTGAATGGTTAAGGGGGAGTAAGGCGTCCAACTAGTTACATAGGAATAGTGGGGTGTTATCGGGGATGGACCTTCTGAATAATATAGTCATTAATGATGTACCTTGATTGGTTATTATGTGTGAGGTGGTATTGTTACGGTTACGGTTTCTGGTGTAGGGTAGGATTGTTATCACACACGATGCTGACAGATCACTGATGCAATCCATCCTAGATATGGAGATAATCCAATAATCAATCTATACTTCTCTCCAGGTTCGGAAAGACGAAGCACGACGAGATGTCCATCCTAGCTCCCGTCAGCCAGTGCTGTTTGATCCGTCATTCCACCTTCATTAAGCTTGTGAAGATGTACCGCGGCCCCGAGAGCCTGAGCAGCGTCATGAGACGTGTATTGGCAGCGGACATGATCAGCCCTGTCCTCCTTGACACCTTCCTGGACGCGCTGGACAGAAGGGTGATGAAGATCCTTCAGATGGTCATGGACTGTGTCAACCGACGTGGTCAGCCCTACAAGTCCGTCATCATCGACGACTTCTTCTAAAGCAAAGGACAAATATAAATCAGGAATCCCTTAAAAGGTTCAAGAATGATGGTCCCTTTGGCAAGCTATCATAGCTCAAAATGGTTTCTATACATTCTAGACACACATATCGGACCAAACACCTTTAGGAACAATATCAGGTCATAAGAGAAGGATCGAGGACAGACATCGGGTAGTCATGTGTTAACTGACCTGTCCATCAGGCATACACTATGGCCAGTTCTTCAACTTTGGGACAGTTCATTTCAACTGGGATATATCTTTAATCAAAGGTTCATCTCAATCCAGTCCAGTGTTCATATCGTGAAGAAAGATTTAGCGTTGTTTGACTTTACAGTGTAAACTATGAAGCCTTCTGATACAAGATCATGATGTAAAATGCTGACGAAAGGTGATGTCATCACCTCAAATGAGTCGAAACTTCACCTCAAGTGAGTCGGAACTTCACCTTAAGTGAGTCGGAACTTCACCGTAAGTGAGTCGGAACTTCACCGTAAGTGAGTTGGAACTTCACCTTGTGTGAGTCGGAACTTCACCTTGTGTGAGTCAGAACTTCACCTTGTGTGAGTCAGAACTTCACCTTATGTGAGTCGGAACTTCGCCTTGTGTGAGGCGGAACTTCACCTTGTGTGAGTCGGAACTTCACCTTGTGTGAGTGTCCAGTAATTACGTATCCAGCGCTGATCTCACTGAAGAGAAACGTTTACTCGGGTAGGTGATCCGCTCGTTCGGAGTAGCTACAGTAAAATCCTTCCTTGTGGAGAAGGACTGCCACTTTTCTTTCAAAATCCAAAGGACTTCGGCAGCCATCCTGTGATCTTTAAACTGTCTTCTGTGACTTCGTGAACAACGACGTATGTGCGTGTATGTTCTTCTGTGTAACGGACTACCGCGGTCTCACTTGTTCAATCAACAAATGGTTGTGGTCGTGTGGCGTCGCTCTGTGTTTGTTGTGTCCAATGGATCTTCTGAAATCTGTCGTTTAACGAAACTCTTGCAATGGTGTAAAGATACAACACCATCCTCGTTTATCTTTTGACATTATATGACTGTTATGTACTCAATCGACATCACTATCTCAATCTCTCAATCAATTCACTCAAACCTTAGCTCATACTTCCTCTCGCCTATAAATGTAATTTGATTGGACGGATATATTAGCGCCCAGGGCCCCTGATCCACAAAGCGTTCGTAAGGTTACGACATGTCGTAACTCTGTAGTTTATCATAGGTTTACGAATGTCGTAGCGCTACGAACGTTTTGTGGATCGGGACCCTGGACTTCCGAATTGAGCTCAGAACGATACTTATTAGTTGGCTAATGGGCCCAGGGTATATATCCTTATAGAATAAAGATATTGTACTGTGGATGAACGAGGATGGTGTCACTTGGACTTGGTCAGTATGAAATTCAGAATGGAGGAAACGAACAAAGCATGAGCCATACACAAATTCATTATTCGTAATACTATGTATTCTTTTTGTTTATTTGTCACTGAAAACTGTTACAAAGCCTACGCATTTAAATAGTCAAAATGCGGTGTTGAAATTTATGAACCGTCAGCTTAACATCAGTGTTTAAGAATTAAGAAATAGAAAATCAAACGTCACCATATTCTGAAACACGATGGTGTTTATTTGTTTACAGCAAGGCCTTTTTGTATAACCCGGACCAGTGACTTCCAGGTAATGTCTCCTACACACTAAAATCTATTTTCCTTGCTTTGAAAATTGTCAACTCAACACTCAACACTCTGATTTCATCGTGAGTCATTCGCCAGAACTCGACCAGAGCTGACGCGTGTGACCCATACTCAGCGAAATTAACACTGCTGCCAACCGATGTTTCCATGCAAGGTGCAATTTCTGTGAAGCGTGTGTCTCAGTTCACCATAATTATATTGTCTTATTTTGCTTGTGTACATACATTGCAATCCATCAAAGGTCGATAAAAAATGTCATTCCCGGTTGTATTTCCTTTAAAGGGAATTACTCTAATCGCATGGGGCTAAAGGGGAGATCACTCTATATTTCTAAAGCTCACCAATCAACCGTTTCAACTATGTCTTTTATAGTTCGTAATCAAACAATGGAAAACTGCTGAATTTATTGTTAGTAATTGATTTGTTGGTTCAATGTCTAGTTATAGTAATGAAAATGGTATTTGAGTTGCTGCGTTTTTGTAACATCAAAAAAGTGGCATAAATGGTTAATAAGATTTGGTTGATTATGCTATATATATTATACAGTTAAATATCATTTTCTCGAAAGCAAGTAACCTCATATATCTTTTACGAGAATAACATTGTATAGTGCCGACAAAATCGTTATCGGCATTTTGAAATAATATATACAATCCAAAATGCCTAGATTTGTATAGATATACATTGGATGTTCCCAGGACGTTGAGATATCGAGATATCAATGCATTTACATTGTGGAATTTGATGTGGTTTGAGTCAGTTATTGGTGTCTTTGGTTGTAGTGTTGGGTCTATTTCTACATATCATTCATCATTTCATTCTTTTTAATTGGTATAATTGATCTTTATTAGTGTGACTTGTGATCAAATTCGTAAACATAATGTTTGAAATATGTCAAAGTATACAAAGTGTTAGTTTGAGAATCAGCATTCATACTAGTGAGATCAAAGCTTGGGAGTTTTAATTTTAGCATTTATATTTTATTATAGCAAACTGGGTCTTTAGCTTTATGAATGTATCAACACTGCACCAATGGACTCACTATATTTATCTACCATTAATTTATTAAAGCATACACTCGGAGATAAAAACAAATGGTCGAGAGCAGGGAAAACCAGAATTTGCCACGTGGGAAGATGTTTGGTCGAAATCAAATGAGCGGTAATTTTTGTACATATTTGTATTGTATGGATAAGTGATTTAAATGCATTGAAACAAATTGGAACTTTAATTTGCAGTCCTACCAATCCCCTTGTAATTCTGTATCTATCTATTCTTCTGAAATTGAATATTATCATATCATCTCGAAGTGTTTTGTTCATTTGTATGGAAGCCCATTAGGACCGTGTTTTGTATTTTTATAATCTTGAAAATTGAAGATAGTTAGTTGAAAATTCAAGGTCATATGTTCAAAATGTAAGTTATAAGTTGAAATAATCTTATGAAGTCAAGAGACTATCTTGAAACTTCATTTTGAGCTTTGAGCTGTAAATTAGAATAAGAATTCAAATCTTTAACATAAAAATATTGTGGTTCTAATCAGCTTCCGTACATGTGACTACAAAATGTGTTTCATTATTTTGTAAAGTTTCATGCAGTGGCTGCAGCGGATCAAATTTGATTGAATGGATCCATGAAACTTGTCAGAAATGATTGTCAGACTGTTAGCTTATGAATTAAAGAACAATGATAATTTACTTTCACTTCTACGGTAGAATGTACACGTGTGTGTCCATGTCATCTGTCAATCACGGCGACCCGGAAGTAGAGACGTCGTATGTATGTGCTGTCTCCATGTGCCTACGGATAAATTGCATATATATTTTGTGAATTATTTTCCTAGACATATAAATGATTGCATGGGGCTGTAGACGTGCAAACACGATGTGCAAACATTGTACAGCAACCATCTGTGATATTAGATCTGCAAGACGTGTTTGTTGTACATATATTTATATACATTCCTTAAACGTATATAGGGGCCGATTATGCTGTGCGAAATAGCAGAATATGGTGATATTGTTGAGGTCGAGAATTATGCTGTTGAATGCACATGGTCATTATGATGTCTTTGACTGGAGTTAAGTATGATACACATGAAGGAGAGAATTTATGGATGTCAGCTTCTCGAGTATAAGGAATGCAATGTTTCGGAGTATATTGTTGCTCCTTCAGCGTGGGGGGCGGTGGGGTAGCCTAGTGGTTAAAGCGTTGGCTCGTCACGCCGAAGACCCGGGTTCGATTCCCCACATGGGTACAATGTGTGAAGCCCATTTCTGGTGTCCCCCGCCGTCATATTGCTGGAATATTGCTAAAAGCGGCGTAAAACTAAACTCAGTCAGTCAGTCCTTCAGCGTGGAAATGAAAGCCAAGATGGTGCATAAGCTCTCGGCACCATAGCTTTCATTATAATATAGATGCTGACTCCGTGAAATTCTCACCTTCATGTTTATTTTGTAGATTGATTGAAAGCCAATACAGCAATCTCCCAGTGCTACTTCTGAAGTATATATTGTACTATTTTGCACAGCTTTACATTTAGTCATCTTATGATATGTGGTCATCTTATGATGTGATTGGAATTGTGTGACAAATTTTGTGAGAAAACTCAGTTAACGAATTTCAAATTGTACTTTTTTAAATATCGCTTTTAACAACATGGTTATATATGAACTAAACTCTGGCTGTTCTTTACGAATGATATTTATGTCATGTAGATAACATTTTCACGTTTTCATTTTTAGAACATGAATACATTTAATTTGGCTGTTCCTAAAATTCATATCTATTCATGCTGATTTCACATATATTTTTAGGAAATACGATTAAATTTGATTATTCTCAATACTGCCTTTAAACATACGTGTCAAGTAATAATGTATTTTCAAATTTAGAAATTACATGTTTTGTGTAATGATAACGTTAGTTCATGATTAGAACCTGAAAGGCTAACAAGCCACGTCTGATATTGTTTCAGTTAGAACAAGCACCTGTTAAACCAAATTATAGCACAGTTTGTCACACTCTTCCTGTCATGTAATGGTATGGAAGGCCAGTTGTGTAATATTTGATGGCTTCAGTAATGGAGTAAATGCGTTGTTCACTTATTGCATGAGTGGTAAGAAATACCCTTCACGTGAAGACTAGTATAACTGTCAGATAATTATGAACGATCGGAGGCGTCTATTGTATCATAATTCACGGACGGCCAAAAGTGATATCAATGATTGACCATTACTGGTCAGTATTAGGGAAAACAATGATTGGCTGACGTGGTCATCAATGTTATTATGGCGATCATTCCAGTCATCTGATGTAATAAAAAGAATCGAATTAATGTATGTTTGTTTTTCAATTTTTATTATCAGGACACATCTCAATGTTTCACTCTCTTGTGTTCACGACAATCCTCCATCACATGGAAATACATAAGGCAAATTGTGGATTTATCCTACGAATCAAGCGACGGCCTGGTTCTGGCGATACGTTGGTTGGTTGGTTTGTTGTTTAATGCCGCACTCTGCAATATTCTAGCTATATGCCGGCGGTATGTAAATAATCGAGTCTGGACCAGACAATCCAGTGATCAACAGCATGAGCATGGATCTACGCTACTGGGATGAGATGACATGTGTCAACCAAGTCAGTGAGCCTGACCACCCGATCCCGTTTGTCGCCTCTTACGACAAGCATTGGTTGCTGAAGATCAATTCTAACCCGGATCTTCACTGGTCCAAAACCCGACTGAAAGCCAACGAAAGGGAGACTTCAAAACATAACGTCCGACTAAAGGAACGCATTATATTTACCACCAAAGTAGACATAGATTAAGCCATCTCAAACCACATCATCAACTGCCGTAATGACAACATCAAGTGGAACAATGTACAAGTCTTATCAAACAGTACACAAGACTTCACTCAAAGAAGCCTGCCAGAAGCAGTTGGTTTCCGCCAACACATGCCTTACTCAACGGAGACCAAGAATACCTCACAAGTAACAATACGACAAGCATGGGTTACTGAATGGGTTACTGAAGATCAATATTCTAACCCGGACCTTCACGGGTTGAAGATACTTCGATAAGAGATGGCGGTGGATATAGAAAACATCCGCGACAATATATTACTAATGCTTATTATGCATGCTGATGCAGATGCTTGTATGTAAGATTTTCACAGACATACCGTGAATTTAGAGCATTCGAGGTGATTGGCTGGTTGAAACAGTCTACACTACTTCACATACATTCTCGTCCCACAGAGGTTACTTTTCATATCAACCTACGACCCTCTGTTCTAATACGGCCCTTTCATGGTGAGAGTGTTCAGGATTCGTGATTGGTTGCAATCAGATTTAGTTGTGCAATCGGTGACGTTGTTTCAAAAGTGATCATTCGCAAGGCCTCGGTAATTTCCATATGCTTCGGGAAAACTAGAACCTCTTCCCCAGCGCGATGCGCAAACGTTTCTTCTAGACAGAACTCAGTCATGTAATGGCGGATCAATGGCGTCTCCATTGCCCTCGTTGACAACGGACAAGCTAGCCATTAAATGTCTTGTGTGTCACATCAACACAAGTCCCCGGCAGAGGAGGGCTATTTGTGGCCCCACATTTGCTTGTCCATTTGCTTGTATTAGTCAAGTTGTAACACGTGTTCTGATTGGATAGAAAGAAGGGAAATAATTCGTGTCGCGATTTGTTGCCGCTAGGGGATTCTACGAAATATGGCCATATTAGAACAGAGGTTTGTAGGAAGATATGACAAGTAGGCTAACCTCCGTGGGAAGATAATGCTTCACATAGAGGTGTCCTTAGATGTCGATGAGAATATTTATACAATCATGTAGTTCCTGGTAGGGCAGGGACCCGGATACCCGGGACGGGTGGGTAATGAGTTGGTCCCGGATACCCATCTCAATACACGGACCCGTTATGATAATGTGACTAATAGATTACACAATGTCATATGTTATTCTTTCATGGTTAAAAGGTTGCATTTTCTTTGAAGATTTAGACATAATTTACAGTTTCTTCTTTTGAAAGTAATACATGGTTAAGATATTGAAAAACTCGAATTTCTTGCCTCCGAGGTGACGAATATCGCCATTTCTTGCAAATTTGATGTCAGGAATTAACATAACGGGTATCCGGGTAGGGTAGCGTAATAGGGGGTGGGATACCTGGGTAGATAGTTTGAACCCGTCTCAGCCCTAGTTCCTGGCACGTGAACATTGCGGTTTCAAGCAGCATTCTTTGAAACGGCTTACTAATTGTATTTTCGGGATCTGGAGAAGACATTTGACTAACGGACCCAAATCCTGAGTTAATTCGACGTTGCAAAATACCTTCTCTCTATGAACACAAGTAGTATCGTCATCGCACTTGAGAGGCTGACACTGAGTCGCACTGAGATCGTAAACTAGCAGCTGAAAGATTAATCTGAGGAGGTAACCCAGCCAAGCCCCACGTCAGTCCCCCACGCCACAAGGTAAACGAGACGGCATTATACGCCGATATGGCTTCTGTGTCCACGCACATTTGTCCTGCGATCACGGCTTGGGATTTATGTTGTATTTACGGTGTTCCGTAATTACTGCACAGACTTCATCGACGGCGGAAATGATGAATCGGTCTGTAGATAATACTTGTCTCCTCCTTAGACTTCTGGTAATCTTTTCAACGTGACATGGGGATATTCTAGATCATGGTACGCATGTAGGAAAGGAATATACTCATCAACCAAAGAAATGCACAAGTGATGTTTGAAACAGCACACGGAAGCTATACGAAGCATGAATACATGATTATCCACCAGCCTTATAATGTCAGTGTTGTAATCATTATTGTACAGCAAATATATTTTCTACCAATAGTGAGTAAAACTAAACTCACCCACTCACTCACTCGAAGTATCTTCGCACAGAAAGGGGGCGGTGGGGTAGCCTAGTGGTTAAAACGTTTGCTCATCATGCCGAAGACCCGGGTTCGATTCCCGGCATGGGTACAATGTGTGAAGCCCAGTTCTGGTGTCCCCCGCCATTATATTACTATTGCTAAAAGCAGCGTAAAACTAGACTCACTCTCTCGCGCAGACAACTATCGCATCACGGGTAAAGATCTGGTTTTAATTAGATCTAGATTTTTAAATCTGCTATTCTATGTATTTCATGGAAATCATTGTAAGACCATCGGCGCCACATTTTCCCAGTCTCGTTAATGAACTTGAATATAGAACATGATTTCCAGGGAGTGTTAAGACAATTGACCTCTATTTGGTTTGTTTGATATCAGAAGTATAATTAATAAACTCGAGTAAAACAAACCTTTGATCAATTAATGTATAAAAACTGCCTATGTTGGCTGATGCATTGTGTATCTTACGTAGACTTGTATGTTGGTACCTTACAACCCGTGAAGATCCGGGTTAGAGTTGATCTTCAGTAACCCATGCTTGTCGTAAGAGGCGACTAAAGGGATCGGGTGGTCAGGCTCGCCGAATTGGTTGACACATGTCATCGTATCCCAGTTGCGTAGATCGATGCTCATGATGTTGATCACTGGGTTGTCTGGTCCAGACTCGATTATTTACAGACCGCCGCCATATAACTGGAATATAATGCTGAGTGTGGCGTAAAACTACAGACAAACCAAATCTAAAGTAACCTGCCCTGAAGTCGAGTGAAGTTCAAATTTTCATTTTATGATCGACTTTGTTACCGTATTTGGTATTTGTACGAAGAAGATTTGAAACAATAATAAAACATTAAAAACAAACAACGTGACGTCTACAATACGCTATGACATGTTTTATAACAATGAATACAAATAGCTGTACGTTTGTGTTATTGGAACAGCCTACATCTGAGTGACGATTGGTGATCTGGCAGCCAGAGGGAGGCTAACAGAACTGCGACTGTGACTGCTACTGGAACCGATGGTTGTACTGTCGCCAGTAGTTTTGTCATTGTAAAACATTTTCATGAATGCTCCCCTGAAGTTCCGGTTGTAGATGGCGTAGAGAACGACGTTGTATGCAGTACTGAACGACGCCAGCGATATCTTGATCATGTTCACAGGGCCACCAACAAACATATGGTCATCTCTTCCTGATATTTTCTGAAAATTGAAACAAATCATTAACTTGCTGATGATAAAACAGACCAGTTATGCTAAGGACATTTTTGTCTCGTTTAACTGTCAAATTTTGAAAACTGAAATATTCTTATGGAAATATTTATCTGACGATTCAGAGAAAGTTTTTGTTTCTATATTTACACATGCAGCATTGGACTAAAACAAATAAACAGGGAAGTTGTCTCAAACTTCAAGACAAAATGACAAGACACGTATGAGTAAATTATGTTTTTCCATGTGTTTGTACGTCCAACATCTCGAACCTAAAATAAAACTGAAAAATATTTATGCTCATGTGGTTAAAAAACGCCTCTGAAAACATCTAAATATTTACCTTTTGAAACATATTTGGCTTTACATTTATTTAGTTTGCAAAGAAACTTAATAAAGATCAGCGATGAAACGAGGTGTTCGCAAAAGGTTAGGCATGTCTCGAACAGAACTTAAAATACAGTGATTCTGCGCGATCTCGCATCCTCTAGAGAATACCAATACCCTCAGGCTGCCTTCTATTATTCATTATGTATAAAACATCGGCACCAGACAATAATCTGCTATTACCAAGATACTAGTTTCTACGGAAAGTTTATTCTTTATCGGAAACTCATCTTCGATCAGTTTCTTAATTGTAAGATCAAACGATACAAACGGTATATTCATAATGACCTCATAGAGAGGGGTAATTGTTTGGTACTGATTAGAAACAAAACTTCGTGTGATTCGCAAGCTAATCCACCTATGAAGGGCGGAGATTGTATACACATGACAGGTAACTTTCAAATTGAAAACAGCACAGTATATAACATAAAAGGGTAGCGATGCCCGGATGGCGTGTTATCTTCTCGTTAGGACAGGAACACAGAATTAAGATATGAAGTCTCAAAGGACAGCACGATTACTGAAGGATCACAGCGAGTCGCGAGTCTAGTTAGGAAGCGATTGTCATCCAGTAAGGGTTGTCGGGAGAGGGGTTAACGTTTACACAAAACATTTAACATTGCTAAAGGAGACTACACTTAAAATATAGTTTTTCAACTAGTAAGTAAGTGAGTTTAGTCTCACGACGCTTTCAGCAATATTCCAGCAATATCACGGCGGGGGCACCTGAAATGGGCTTCACACATTGTACTCATGTGGGGAATCGAACCCGGGTCTTCAGCGTGACGAGCGAACGCTTTAACCACTAGGCTACATGCACCCCACCGCCCCCTTTTTCAACTATACTGACTGACTGAGTTTAGTTTTACGCCGCTTTTAGCAATATTCCAGCAATATCACGGCGGGGGACACCAGAAATGTTTTCAACTATACAGAACCTTACCTGTGATATAAGAAGTATAAAATACGGGAGCCACGATATGGCGAAAAGAGCTGCTACGAGTATAAGCATCTTGGTAATCTTTATACGATGGCGGTAGATGAAGAATCCTCTCGCTGTGCTCTTCCTCCGTCCAGATCTATCACATAGCCCGTGCTCTCGGAGGAAGTTGATTATTCGCCAGTAGTTGCCCAGGATGAAGACTAGGGGGATGATGTACGCTATCAGCAGCAGCACGAAGCCGTTGGTGATGGAGGCAGCTGAGGAGAAGGTGACTGACGCGCATGACGTCGCGGTGATGTTGACGTCGTCTGAGACGCTGATGTAGACGGAGTACTCGAGGGCTGTGGGGACGATAAGGACAGCTGCTCCCATCCAGATTACTGGGATGATTTTTAAGGCTGCATGACCTACAAAAAATGGCATCCCTTTAACATAACTATAAGACGGTGATTCATAGACACATATACACAAGACCCTGCCTTGGTAGAGATTTCTTGTAATTATGGAAAGCGTTTTCGTGTCTCTTAATTGGCTTTCTTCCAGTAGCTGAATAAACACAAATTGAACAGAACATTAATGAGAGAACATTAGGATCCCTTAGTGTCCTCCTAAATAGACGTGTTAAAAAGGTCTGGCAGAAAACGTTTCGTGAAGTGTTTGGTCACTTTACTCAAAAACTACAAGTACTATCGTTTTCTAATTTTGCATGATGCATTATAATTGTTCTACCATTGTGAATTTTGAATTTCATGAATTATGATTTAATAATAAAAAGTTGTTTAACAAACTACCAAGGAAATACTGACACAGTTCACTATTTGTTATGAGGGAGGAGTGCAAGGGGTGCAGACAGTGGAACAGCCAGGTGTGCTATTGATTCATTTACCTGTGCTGAGCCTTTCCGTTTTTGAGTAAAGTGACCAAACACTAAGTTTTCTGCCAGACTATATATATATATATATGTATCGCTCTCCAGAATTTGTTCTGTGTTTCCCATCGCCCACGCATCCTGGCGTTTTATTTTCACCTGAGCTAATTAATGAACAGTTTTCCTATTCAATTTTGTCCCTCTGTAGATTTGTTTGTTTGATGTCTATCACCGCACTCGGCAATATTCCAGCTATGTGGCGGCGGTCTGTAAATAATTAACAAGACGTCCAGTGATCAACAGCATGAGTATACGATGACATGTGTCACCCAAGTTAGCGAGTCTGACAAGCCATTAGTCGCCGCTGCGGCGTTAAACAAATCTGGCCTCGAAAGACATGGTCCGTTTAGCAGGTGAACGATTTGTCAGTGCTCTGTATAACACTGTTGATGAGGGGGCAGCCTTTATGTACTGAGGTATTTGTTTGCTACAAAATGTCTACCTGTGGAGAGATGCCCACAAGCAGAGCATGCTACTCACACTCTCTTCGTGTCCGTCCTTGTGGATTCACCTCCAAACTGGGTTGGAAATGTACGAATATGGATTCCAAACTGTGGATGGCACCGTCGTGGTACAATCACAGAAAAACCTGCTGCCCCTGACAATCTTCTCAAAGGCATTAGATGTACTTGTTCAAATTCAAGTCTATGTTCCAACTGCAGTCTTTCCAGTAAGAGAATTCCCTGTACCGTTCATTTTAAGTGTAAGGGTTACTGCTTAATCCCAACACCACTGCTGATGAAGAATAATGTGGACTGAATTGGACACTTGTACAGATTTTGTATTGTGATTTTGTTATTTCATCTCTGTATATCTTCAATTGCTGCCATGCATGTTCTGATGACTGAGGAAGTACTGAGTGTCATGAAAAATAGGTTACTTATTATATGGAATGATTTTGTCCAAAAATATTCATTGTATTATGAGATTGCCAACAGCATCAGTCACGCATAACATGTTACTTAATGAGAGTGAGACAGGTTTAACCATGCAGAGGCAAACTGACGTCAGGGGAGGCAAACAGTATCAGCCTCAAGCTCCATTTCCTTCATTTTGAGTTTTGATCCGAAACTCTGTAATATATCTCAAAAGATTGGTGTCAGTGAGTGTTTCTTATTGAAGTTACGCAATGCAAAGAGCAAGCTAATGAAATATTATATATATTAATTTAAACCATAAACCTTGAGATCCATTACTCATTATATACAGTAAAATTAATTTGATATGGCGGCCATTTTGAATTCAAGATGGCCGACATCGGTAAATATTTAAGATATTGTAAATTTTGATGAAAATAGGCTTCTTTAGAAATGAAAATACAAACCAGCATGAAGACAAACTAGAAATGTATGATTACGTATGTAATCATCATAAGTGTATCCCCGCTGAAACGTGGGGGAAAAGACAATAGACCCCATCCCCCAAACCATGCCCCCAAATGTATTTCCACAACCTTGATTTTCTTTGGGTTTTGTATGGTGACCAATAACACCCTTCTGGTCAGGTTCAGCACAAAATTGGCCTGTTATCAGAAATGTCCGGGTCCAATGCAATTTCTACTGGATTTGACCCATGGAGATCCGAGTTAGAATTGCTGTTCAGTAACCCATGCTTTCGTAAAGGGCAACTAACGGGATTGGGTGGTCAGGCTCGTTGACTTGGTTGACACATGTCATCGTATCCCAATTGCGTAGATAGCTGGTCATGATGTTGATCACTGGATTGTCTGGTCCAGACTCGTTTATTTACAGACCGCCGAGATATAGCTAGCTGGAATATTGCTGCGTGCGGCGTTAAACAACAACCAAACCAACCTACTACTGGACTTAGTCTAATACCTGGACGCATAGGTTCGACCCGCATTAGGATGGCCTTGCGCCGTTCACATGATATGGCGACCAGGCTGTAGATGGACACTACGATACAGAAGATGGGCATGACGTTGGTTACCTTGCACAGCACGATACCTGAAACAAATGTATACCAATATATAATTTACAATGGAAATATCTGAAACATGATCTTTACCTGATCGTCATACCCAAAGACGTTAAAATATGGTACTTGTTGGTCCCTGCCTGGCGTTCGGCATTAATGGGTACAACAAGGACTGGTCGGCTCGGAGTCAGTATAATGTGTCTGAGTGGGGTATTCATGCTTCACTGCGGCATATTATCTCAGTGGGCTAGCACTATAAAACCAGCTTAAGTCTGGGCTAGTACAAGCAGCCGCACATACACATACACACGCATGCACGTCGTCATATGAGCGAAATATTCTCAAGCACGACGTTAAACCCAATTTCAACTCAGCTCACCTCTTTACCTGACGTGAAAGAAAAGAAAAGTGTCATGAAATAAAGAAAAATAGTAGAAATCAATAAAACATTTGCAGAACATTATGCCAGAAGCAAAGATGCCATTTTTCGAAAAGATAACATGTCCCCACATATCCATTGTTTCGAACCAGTAACAGAATAGGACAGTGTCTATTTCAAACATAAAATATCCATTGTTTCGAACCAGTAACAGAATAGGACAGTGTCTATTTCAAACATAAAATATCCATTGCTTCGAACCAGTAACAGAATAGGACAGTGTCTATTTCAAACATAAAATTAACAGCAGACGCCATGGAGTCTGTTGAGCCTTTATACAATCGTATAATGAGGATGTTGGGGAAACCTTATTCCTGGCATTCCAGGCACTTAAGAAAATTAAGAGAACCCGAATCAGTATGATAGAAGCACAAATTACTCTCACATTCCACCCCGGGGTAGCGAATGGGATACGTGGCAGAATAGATGTCCATTAACCCATAATAGGGGGTGGTGAAAATGGATCCTGTCTAATGAAGATAGTTTGCTCCATGGGTCTTGGCTCATATGTGTCATCCGGAATATTGTTGACCGAAGAAGTCACTCATTTTCCTCCGTTTTGAAACTGACTCTAAGGCCAAATGTTGCCATGGATGGGGTCAAGACACTAACATCTTTTCTATTAATGCACTGTTGAATACCATCGACGTCCTGGCAACCTAATGAACCACGAAACGCGATTGATGTCAAGTATTTGGTATTTTAGCATTCATTTTGCACCGCAAAAAGTTTTAAAATATCCATAATCATGTTAAATCTCTGCCAATCAAGTTAAAACATTGATTACACAACAGTCTCGTTTCCTGCCGACTGGGTTCCGTCCTATAGTGCAACTTAGTACAATAACCAGGACAGAATTTTGAGACCTACTCATTCAACTGTATATATAATTATTAATCAGTATTATTTGATACATCTAATCACGTGTATATTGCTACACTACGTGCAACGTACTCTGACAAACGGAAATCTGGAAATCGTGGAAATCTCAAAATGAGGCTCGGCCGCTAGAAAAGTTTGCATTCTTGTACGGCCTTGATATTACATCAATCACATTTTACCTCACAAAAATACACTTAATAAGCGCAAAGAACACAAAACAGGTGTAACCAGTGAGCCAGATGAATTCTGAATCATTTTACGACCTCATCAAACAGGAGCAGTCTGTGACGTCTTAGTTAAGGTCATGCTGCCTACACCGCGCCATAAAATATAGAAATACGATGTTATTAAAGTTTAAAATTAAAATTCATTTGTAAATACCATTTTCTTATGAAACAGGGAATTGGAATTTTGTGTAACCATTGTTGTTTGTAGTGTCTCTTTTCACTTTCACACGAGAAAATTCTGATCGGCTGAAAAGTAGGTCATTGTCTGAATTGGTTAATGAGACTCATGTTTCGGTTTGCCAGTCCATTGCGGTATTCCGCTTGTCACAAACACATGCAAAGTAAAGTCAGTTGTTAACCTGTGCTGCAGTGCAATAACGTTAAATGCATCGTAGTAAGTGTTGGAAACATCGCTGATGCTCATTGTGTATTAACTCACTCACTAACTCCATGTAAAGTGAAAGAAGGGCGAGTCCTTAACAGTTGAAAGCAAGGACGTGACGATCATAGCAAAACCATGGCTGTTTCTAATATATGATTATTGCCGAGCGGACAACGAATTATGTTCTTATCGGACGTTTTAAAGGTGACTATGCTTAGTGGACGCGAGAGTTAATCGGAGTGATTCATGACTACATGTATTCAAATGTCTGTTTTAAGGCCCTTCCGAACCTGTGTCAGAATAGAACCCCAATACTCAATGTTAAGTGGTGACAAAGGTGAATCAGGTGGTCCTATATTACAGCTTAACAATTAGTAACCCGTTACAAATCTGACAACAATGTATAATTATGCTAAAAACATAACACAGGAATATGGTTCAGTAAACTTTAGTTCACAGAAAGAGGTCAAGTTGAGGCTGGGATGGCCCAGTGGTCTAAGGCCGGAGGTTCGAATTCCATATCACCACAATTATTGGTTTGATGGAACCATACCAATATTTATGTGTCCCACCCTCGCGCCGTGTATTGTAAAGACTGTCGTAGCAAAGTCAGAAACGCGACTCTTAAGGGGTCGTTCATAATTTATGGCTAGGGCTGTGGGGTGGGTTTGTTGTAATGATGATGATGATGATTTTAAGAGGAGGGGGGGGCGGGGTCACCCATTTTGTTCTGGGGAGATGGGGAGTAATCAGTTTTGTACACATGAACAGCAATTCTGTGCATGATTATTATATTTCAAAGTTAGGCTTAAAAATTATGGGAAAGGTGGGGTCATTGATTTTGAACATGATAGGGGGGGGGGGCACTTAGTATATAAGAGACTTTTAGGGTGGTCATTCACATTGTACATGCTTCTCCATACAAATCACCACACACACACACGCACACACACGATATATGAACGGTCCCTAAGATACAAGGTTCCATCAGTTTGTAAGGAGCAGTGAATGACCCAGAAATTAATCGCTACTTAGTGTTTGATCAGTGAAGGGGTCGTAGCGTCTAGGACTCATTTGTCGCAGATCATTTATGTTACTATACATACAGCATTAGTCCGGGCAGACTAGTCTCAGATAATGGATTATGTTAGCAAAATGACAAGACTATCTGTAACCTGATGAAGTACACGGGCATCATAAAACATGTAAGTGTAACATGTGTAAAATATCCACCACCATTACCATTCAGAACTGCCCGTTCATGCTGATTTCTCAAACCAAATCGATAAACACACACATATGCTGCTCCACATTTTCGCTCGCTCGTTCCAAGAATTTATACTCTCTGCGCTGTTTACATGAACTGTCAATCATGGAGACTTCTTTCCCTCCACGTCTTGGAAGGAAAATGTGCCGCCGGAGAAACGCGAATCAGATAAGCAGATCTCAGACGAATATAGAATTATGGAATGAAGTGCCAAATGATATCAGGAAATAAATAGAATTGTGTTGATTAATTAGACCAACGTGAGAAACTGAACAATCTGATCTGCCCAATGACGTGTATTACTTAGAAAACGATTGGTTTTGCTGTCAATTATTTTCCCACTGATAAATATCTTATTTCAGCGTTTTAGTAGCGAAGACAAATAGGAAGCTTCGAGATTTACATGTCCTACCAGCGTTGCTTCCGTCATTAATGAGCGTCTCTTGCCAGCTTCCGTGACAACGTCTCAAGTTACATTGTTACATTGTTACATTGTGGGGGTGTTACATTGCATTTTATGAAAGCAAAAATACCTCCTCCACCTCGAAACTTTGAAAAACTATACAGTTAGGAGATATACCTGAAATGTGTATTTGTCGTTAGATATCCATCGGTATAATTTGTAACAGAAGGCTGTAGCGCTCAGACACACATAACACACTCGCGCTCTCAGGAAAATATGAAAAGTAGCATTTGGAGAACATGTCACATTTCTAAAGATTAACTGTGTTCTAATAGCACCAATACCATTTAATCACGCAAGATCACGTCTAAGATCCGCTACTCTCCTGGTAGAATAATTGAGAGCAATATCGCTGATGTATACGTAATCCTAATTGTGCTCTGGTTGTGTTGGATCCCAAGGGGTGAATACAACAATCACACTGACTAATGACATCATGTTATCTCGGATGACGTGGCATACACATATTGGTCAGTGGGCGAGTGTTTCCGTCCAAGGAAAGAAGACTTGAAGACCAGCATGGTATCTTATCGCGAAGACACGTATTATCATTGTTCGCAGGACTTGAGAAGCCAGCGGCACAATAGCGCATTTGCTGATTTTGTTGAAACTAAGTCAACATGCAGCGCTCCATGTTCAGTGCACGTGTAGCATAAGGTCAATATCAAAATCGTTTAAATTGAGTAGCGCAGAGATAGGGTTACCGTAGCTAGTTCCGACCGACAGTTTGAGTAGAACTGAGAGGTCTTTTGCATGTCCGGCCGCGGTCGGTTCCATTGTAACACGAACCTAATCACCTCAAGTGTGGGATTATTCTACAGTCCACTGAACTGACGTACAAAAGAAAGTATACACCTAGCGTTTTGGGATTATATTCCAAAAATGTTTTCAATATCTGTCACTTTTAAGTTCGAAAACCTTTTTTAAATGTTTACGGTATTGTTTAAATTAACCCAACGCACAATGTGTGTGGTTTCTTTTCTACGTCATTTTAGTATTAGTCAAACTAGAGAATTGCATCAGATATCATGTTGTTCAGCGTTACGTCAAAATTTTAAATGTCCTCCACATGTCTGTCATTTACCTTTTTGAAATCGGTCGTGTTATCACCTGTCACATATCACCTGCCTAAAAGGAGGCCCCAACTTGTATTAAAACTGACCTGAATACGTTTTAGTAGCAGAAAATACTAAATAAACGTCAATCTATATTTAAGCAAACAAAGTCTGCACGTAAAAATGACGTAGACAAGCGTTGAAAATATGGTTAACGTTAACTTGGATCTGACGACCCACTCAGCCAATACGCGCCACAGGACTTGACCATTCACTACCCGTGGGGGCGTTCGGGTAGCCTAGTGGTTAAAGCG